GGGGGGGTGGGCAGTAAGAAGACAACAAAAATAGTATATAAATCTGAATGAAGAAGCTTTAATTACCAACAGCGACATTCAAAGCGTAAGTGGCTGTCATGAGTGGCTAAAGATGTATTGATAATATGCAAGAAAAAAATGTTTGTGCATACACCATGTCTATGTAAATAACGCAAGAAAAGTAACTCGAGTGGCCAAAATCCGTGTTTATGACCTATGGAATATGTTACAATAATACGCCAAGACATCAAAACATTATTTGGATTGTCTATAGAAAATTAGCTTGCAAGTACGAATTATGTTATGATACACCTCTAAAGGACAGACACACAAAGCAACGAAACGAGCTGTAACATACAAATTAAAGTGCAGGTGAAATAAAGTGATGCACTAAACTTCACAAACTACCTTTGTTATTTCAATAATTCCAGAGGCCAAGCGAGTAGTGAGTTGAGACTAAAAAATTATGTTAAGCAACTAATGTTGATCACAATGGGTTAAGATGGGAAACCAATGGTGTGTGTCTTTGAATAAGGCACTGTAGCCTTAGATTACACCAAAAAAAAGGGTCAAGCAAAAACGAAACACCACACACACAAAACCGGACGCCGCACTATAGTTACCAGCAATGGCATGTTTGTGACATTGTTCTGCATTTGTATTACATATATATTATTTAATTGGAATTCTTTGGTTGTTTTGCGTGTTCAGTTTTATATTTAGGCATGTATTTTTGCCATTGAAACACAAATTATTACCCTATGAGGATCAATAAGGTGTAATCTATTTATTTTATTTGTTCAGCGAATTATAGTGTAACATCTTTCAGAATGTTCATTATTTGCTACAGACAATGGCCTCCTCGGGCAGTCAGACCGACAGCTATGAAGATGGAGGCTTCAAAGTGCTGGCTAGACAATCCAGGTAGGATTTTAAAACTGTTTCAGCAATGATTGACTTTACCGTGTGGGCCTTCTAAGAGATCTTGAGTTCTTTCATTAAGAAAAGTCTAAAGACGCATATCAATATTTTGTTTCACTCAACCCTTTTCCCGTAAATATTGAAATGGGATAATTTTATGGTTCTGGAAATTGTGTGCGTATGTGTGTGTGTGTGTGTGTGTATGTGTGTGTGTGTGTGTGTGTGTGTGTGTGTGTGTGTGTGTATGTGTGTGTGTGTGTGTGTGTGTGTGTGTGTTTGTGTGTGTGTGAGTGTGATTAGTCTGGTTTTAGTAACGGTTCTACTGGGGGCTCTCGTGGCCTAGAGGTTAAGCTGTTCGCAACTTACCACAACACAAGGTCATTTAAATGCCAAAGATTAGAGAGGCGTTACAAGGGAGTAACAAACACAAAAAGGAAGAGAGATCAGGACAATATATATTTTTAATGAAAGAGGGAGCAAACCACTCTAGAGCAGCCACCAACCACCAGCTGTGTATCTTTATGTGTGCGTGTGTGTGTGTGTGTGTGTGTGTGTGTGTGTGTGTGTGTGTGTGTATGTGTGTGTGTGTGTGTGTGTGTGTGTGTGTTTGTGTGTGTGTGAGTGTGATTAGTCTGGTTTTAGTAACGGTTCTACTGGGGGCTCTCGTGGCCTAGAGGTTAAGCTGTTCGCAACTTACCACAACACAAGGTCATTTAAATGCCAAAGATTAGAGAGGCGTTACAAGGGAGTAACAAACACAAAAAGGAAGAGAGATCAGGACAATATATATTTTTAATGAAAGAGGGAGCAAACCACTCTAGAGCAGCCACCAACCACCAGCTGTGTATCTTTATGTGTGCGTGTGTGTGTGTGTGTGTGTGTGTGTGTGTGTGTATGTGTGTGTGTACATGTGTGTGTGTGTGTGTGTGTGTGTGTGTGTGTGTGTGTGTGTGTGTGTGTTTAGGCACGTCGTTGTTGTTGTTTTTCTTGTTGTTGGTGGTGGTGGTGGCATTTTTGTTAAGTAGTCTTAAAATGTGCATTGTTTGTCCTCTGATTCGTCCGTTGGGTGGAGATAATTCGGCAATTTACGGCGCAAGGAGTATCTGAGAGTCATCTAATATTTAGACGGTATTTAAATTATTATTATTATCATTATCATTATCAATATCATTTTCATCATTATCATTACCTAATCATTATCATCATCATCATCATCATCATCATCATCATCATCATCATCATCATCATCATCATCATCATCATCATCATCATTAATTGAAGAATACGAATTTCAAAGCCTCATGAAGATTATTAAAATTTGCTGTAACTTAGAATAGTTACACTTCCTAATGCTAAAGTTTCTAACCGTTGGCTATATTTATCAACATAATATTGGTATAATTGGGAACAGTGAAATTATAAATTCAAAGCTTACAGCGATTGCCACAACTACAGTTCCAAGTTAATGTTTTTAAAAATCTTCTGACACCATCACTTGAGTCATCCTCCCATTACCGTTAACTGTTATGTAAAAGATTATAAAATAAACACGCCATGACTAAAAGCATAACCAATTATAGCATATTGTGGTAACCTCCCCTCTTCCAAAAAAGTGTCATTTATAAGTAAATAAATAAAATGAATAATTAAATATATAAACGAATGAATAAAATAATAAGTGAATAAATAGATAACAAGATAGAAAGAAAAAGAAATAAGTCATCAAAAAGCAAACGGAAACATTTTTAAAAAACCCACACTTCTCTGCCCCAGTGTTTTTGAAGAAAAATACGAGGAGAGCAATGTTGAGGCGTATCCTACCTCTGGTGTTGAGCTGGACAACATGACACTGAGTCAGGGGCTACATCGTTCCTTCTCCATGCCTGGCACTGAATTGTTCCCTGACTCTCATCTGGACTCCCGTGTGGAGCGGGTTTACACAATCGGCTGCTTTGATCTCTTCCACCATGGCCACGTGACTCTGCTCAACAGGATGAGGACTTTCGGAAAAAAGGTAGGCTACAGGCTAGACGCTAAGGTTAGCTTGCACGCTGGCTTAAACCTGAATATTTGGTACAAACGCAGCTAGTCAGGGGCAAAACGACTACAAAATCGAGGCTTCACTTCTACCTGGTTCTTTATTTCAATTTGATCACCCTTTGAAACAAGTCAACCGTCGACCCTGTTAGTATTAGCTACCTTTAGGTTCTGATTAAGATCCGAAAAGCATATTATGTCAACCACACGGATTCGAATTTTAGGTGTTTATCGTTATAATATAAATCAAAACCATGGTCACATTCTTTAACGTGGATCATTTACACTAACCATTGCGGTAGAAACTCGATCTTTTATCCCCCCCCCCTGACAATGCACAGATTTTGCAGCAAAAGGCCTACTGTCCGAGAACTGGATGTCCTCAGTTAACAGTATGTGTCCGCCAAAAGTGTTCATTGCCCATTGCCAGCATGCGGTTTTGGCTAACAAAATTAACCTTATCTCTTTCAGTTTGAAACCGCTACCTTTCTCCAACTACGGGCGCTTCTCATTCAATAGGTCCCGGGTTCGAATCCGGACAGCGACGGAAACTTTTATTCTCTAGAATTGTCTCCTTTCTTCACCTCTTTTCCTGCTCTCTAGCAATGCTCTGTCGTCTGCAGCTTTCGTCTCCATTTTCTGCCCCCACCCCCTCACTTCCTTTTTTCCTTCTCTTGGCTCCTGACTCTTTCTGCAGCCTTTCTACTGCTACTCCTTGGCTCCTTCTCACTACTGTAACGGG